TTATTATTATTATTATTATTATTATTATTATTATTATTATTATTATTATTATTATTATGGATTTGATATGATGTCTTATTGTTGTGGATTGGATTTTTTCTTTTTGATAAATTTGATATAGTTCTATTCTTTTGTAAAAATATATCCTTCATTTATCATGTTTTGGCAAGTTCTCTCCTGTCTGTCTACTTTTATAGTTTCTACTTATTACTTATACATTTTTTCACTTATACTTTATTTTTTAATGAATTTCATTTCTTATTTTTAGGTAATCTTTATTTTTAATTATTTTATTCACTAACTTCAAAATTTGATTGAATTTTTTTTAAAATTCAGATTGATCATGTCAATGAACCCTATTTAACATATGTTGAAGGGTGTAATCGACACATTGAATTGGTGTGTTGGACAATAAAGACTTCTTTTGAAGGAAAAAAATCATTGATTGTTAAAAAAAGGATACTTGCATTTAATTAATTTATTAGAAAACACTTCATAAAGATAGTTCACAAGACAGTCACTATGAATAGTAGGACACCATAAAATTAGCATATCATTATAAAATCCACTCAGCATAAAACCATTCTCCTGCAAATGATATTTTTGAGATGTCACTTCTCTTAAACATTGATGAAATGTATTTTACATATTACCAGTTGATTGTATGGGAACATGTGTGCAATCTATTGCTATGTAAACTCTTGAAAATCTAGCAATTTCATAAAAATCTTCTTGGGTGATTTCTATATTTTTACGAAACTTCACAAACTCACTACACTTGAAGCAGTAGATTGGCTCAGCTCAATGAAGTCTCTAATTATGATAAAAAATTATTGCATTGCAAAATAACATAGAGTAAGAAGAAGTCGGATCATTGATGATACCTCAGAATTGCAAACAAAACACAAATTTATATATTATTTTGTCATAACATGAATTTAACAGGACCATTACTTTACCAGGACATTACAGAAATATAAGCCAATGTGCACAAATCATTTGTTTTTATTTTCAGTTCTATCAAAGACATAACTTTGCTAATCATATGCTCCCTTTACCTGAAACGGGATTTGTATTCTTGTTTGTCAAGGATTTCAAAATATTCTGGCAGACATGTCGTTGGAGCAAATGCTCTAAACCATCAAAGAAGTCATCACCTATCATCTCTATTACATTGTCCATCAAGGAAATACTTCAGATATTTCTTAAAAATCACAGCACGTTCACTCACAAATTCTGTTATTTCAGAGTTTTCTACCAGATAAACATTTAACAGCCTCTCGAACCTCCAGATTATTTACCGGATACTTTAACCCCTGGATAGATTTATCAAGCACTCATAAAACACAAATTTTTAACATATCAGTGAGATAACTCCTGGATAGACTTAAACCTGGATAGTTTTAAGAGGCACTGGTGACAGGCCCTTGGAAGGTGAAAATATTTCAATCTATATAATATTTCTACTTGTACTACAAGAGTGTCCTCACTGAATTATAGTACCTCACTTTTTTGATAATTTTTGTCCTTTAATTTTTGATATGTATTTATCCAAAAGGCCCCCAATTTCTAGTTAAGTTTAGAATGAACTTGCACACAGAATGCTCTTCTTACTAGTAAATACAAAAATATGAAAAATTACTTTTTCTTCAAAACACAGAGATTTTGAATTAATAACGAGAAGAAAAAATCCACATCATCACCACAATGACACCAAAAACAAACACGACCACAACAACCACAACCACAATGACAACCACCACAACAACAACCACACCACCACAATCACCACCACAACAGTACCAACAATCACAACAGATATAAATTTAAAAATTATATTTAGGACAACCTACAATTCCTTTTTTTTTTACAGGATAATATTTGTTATAATTTGTATATAGGGTTGCCATAAAGATAACAATGGATTCCGGACATGTTAAGTATATTTCAAAGCAAATTTTTTATTTTTATACAACTAAATAGTACCTCTTGTAAATCATATAAGAAGGAAAAAGTTTATCAAGTAACAACTAAACAGAAAATCGAGGTACATTGCTTACATTCAAGAATAGCAGGTGATTACTTTTTTTTGCTAGAATGAATTTCTCTGATTTTCCCAGGTTATCCAGGTTAGTTCCTTTTTTTATGGCCAAATTTGTGAAGTATTTCAGGGTATTTAAATAAAATATTAAATCATGACTTCGGTTGATAGTAAAACTGTTATTGACTGAGACCTTTCCCCCTTTGCATTCCAAATTCTCTTGCATTAACATGTTGTGTGAGACAGATACACTTTGATTCAAATCGCACAGTACATTTCTTTAACTATTTTTCAGCCCTCCATTTGTACCATAAAAAGATTAAAATAATAATATTTTCTTAATGAAGGAATAAGCCTCTTGTGTTCTCGTATGTAGCACATAGTTCTGTGATGTAGTTCACAAATTGTCCCAAAATGCAGTTTTATTTATAGGACTGTGTGGAATTATAATAGTAAAAATCTCGGGGCATTTAGCAGAAACAAAGAGATATCTGGCATGTCATATCCTGTTTTTTCAGGGCATATGTAATAATATAAATGATATCATGCACATAATTGGACATATGGCATCCCAATTTGCATATCTTATATTGGCAACAATCATCACGTAAGCATCTTTATTTGATAACTGTTAGTTAAAAAATATGCAATGCCAAGAGATAATTAAGGTAACTCTTTTCTCACACACACAAAAATAGTTTTGTGCTCCCTTCATTTCATCGAAGTTGGTAGTTTTACTGCTACTTTACAGCAAACGCTTGAAGGTTAATGTAATAATAGATCCCAAAACGTGGATCATGTCTCTGAAATCACATTTTGGATGATTTAGAGGCAGATTTACAGTTTGTGAATTTTATTGTGTTCACAAATATCATGTATGTCTTCTAATTCTTTTTACGCAGTAATTAACTCATACATCCGTAAGGGTCTTTCCCGCCTTTCGGATACTATGATATACTCGTACTATGTAATATACACTATACTTAATATTGTATATGAAATGATAATTGTGTTGAATCTCTGAAATGTCTATATATATATATATATATATATATATATATATATATATATATATACTCTGTATTAGAATGCATTGACTGAAAAATGCTAATTATAATCACGATTAAGAAATGATTTTCATCTCTATAAGTGCATGGCACAATGTAATATTCAAGTAGCCCGCGTTTTGTGAAGTGTTGGCAGTTCTGTTGTGAGGAAAAGAAAAGTAAGAATCGCTAAACTTCGACAGCATTTCGATAAATCCAAAATGGATGTCGCTAAACGGGCGACGTGTAGTTTTCACGTGAATAAAGAAATGGACTCCTTGATTTTCTGTAATGAAATGCAATATAATTTCTGCAAACCACTTTGTGTAAACTTTGATTGATTTCCTGGTTGTTCGAAAGTGAGCTTATTGTGAAATGTCACATGTTTTGTGGAAGTGGATATCTCTGTAGTAGCAAACTGGTGTTTGCTTAGATTGCGCGAACCGTCACTGTCACCTTAGAATTCAATATGCGTTTTGTGGAACGTGTTACAGAAACAATCATCTATTATTGTCTAAAAGGTTTGTAACTAAACATGTGCTCTGTTAATATTGTAGACTGCTGTCAGAAATGACACTAATACCGATGGTGATCTGTCAGTGCACTAACTACCGCGTTATTTAGTTACTGTTATATATTGGTAAAATCTTTATTTATTATTACTTATTATAATTTTATTTAATGGGCCATAAAATACGTTACTTTCGTTCAATGTATCACTTAACAATAGTGCCTGACAGATCTCAAGTTTGAAGGTTAATTAATTTTGTCATTTATAATCATTTTAAGATTTTTTAAAATTTGAAAGGATATAATTGAAGAGCAGAATTTTTTAAAAAATAAATCAAGGACAGTTTGTTGTTAACTTGTATTTTCCAATGTCTATTTTTCAGCTGCCAGTGGCTGTGAGCCAAAACACTGAAAGGAAGTTTTATAACAATTTATCTGTATAACAGCTTAATTTTTGATATGTGCTTTTTATATACTTAGAGGAACATAAAATAAATTTTGTACAAGTTTAATGTAAACATCAGACTTTCATTTTGTAAGAGATTGTATGTCTGTGATCACAAAGCACATTAAAACAAAATATTGTATTTATTTGAAAAACTTCTTTGAGATTATAAACAAACATACATGACTTTCATTCATTATACTATATGAATAAAGAATCAAATTACTAACATTTGATTGATACATGTCACAAAGTGTTATAAATAAATCATGACCACATCAACAACCAGACGTGAAGAACGATTGGATTCTTCTGTAAGTTTCTCTCGATCACGTGGTCCAAGCCAGCAAACAGAGGAAGATGATGATGATGACGACATTCAGATATCTCTAGCTCCTTATATACAAAGTTACTTAGCACAAAGTGGCCATAGGTTGGGCTGTTGTGGACATTGTTTGCCAATTCCTTTTGAACGTGCTGCTCGAAGGTCATGGTGGGATCCTAGATTTGATTCAGAAATCCTAGAAGGTCAATATCGGAGGAGTTCCTTCCCTCAGGTGCGATTAAGATTTCAGTGAGTATAATGCTTCTTGTTTATATGTTTGATACTGATAGTCTAATTGCATTACTTTATGTATGCATATTATTGAATAATAATGCATTTTTACTTTCTTCCAGGTATGCGTTGGGCTACATATTGGCAGTTGCACTTGCTTGGTTTGTCTACTTTGTATCAATAGGCCTAAGTGGCTTGATTCATAATTGGGTTGCCATTGCAGGAACTTTTGCGGTTTTAATTTTCACTTTTGGGTCAATCTTTGTTTTGACATTCACCAATGTTTACAGAGATTATACTTTTCCTATATCGATATGCATTGCTCTTATCATTAGCAGTCTATCTCTTATTTTCATTATTATTGTTTCAACAGACAATACTTCACCTGACATTACACCTGTTGGCCAGTATTCGTTATGTATTGAGATATTACTCATAATTTATACTGTGATTCCATTACCACTCTATGTGTGTGTAATGATAGGTGGCTTATATTCCATAGTGTTTGAAAGTTTGTCAGCCTCATTAAACTATCATGATATCAACAGTGTGGGAATGGCACAAGGAGTAATTGTGAGAGTGTTATTGCAATTGTGTGTTCATTTTATTGGCATTCATATTTTAATTATGACTAATGTTCGAATGCGTGGTACTTTTATGAAAGTGGGACAGTCTTTGCTAGTTCGCAAACAGTTAGAAATGGAGAAACAGTTGAAAGAGAAGATGATACTCTCAGTTATGCCTCCTAAAGTGGCTAATTGGTTAATGTTTGAAAGTGGTGGTGGAAGAGATGAAGAGGCAGATAAGTTTTGTTCAAGAGGATCACAGCCAAGTGGAGGAGGAGATATTCGGTCACTTTTCCGTCCTTTTAACATGCATCGAATGGAAGAAGTCAGTATTTTGTTTGCTGACATTGTTGGTTTTACCCGAATGAGTTCAAATAAAAGTGCTGAAGAACTAGTGAATATCTTAAATGTGTTATTTGAACGTTTTGATGACCTCTGTGCTATTCATGGGTGTGAGAAGATATCCACGTTAGGTGATTGTTATTATTGTGTTGCTGGATGCCCTGAGCCTAACCCCGAACATGCTAAAGCATGTGTAGAAATGGGCCTTGGAATGATAGATGCCATCAAGCAGTTTGATGCAGAAACAAATGAAGGTAAGAATTAATAGTCAAAGCAGATAGATGTTCTTAAACCGAAGGCCTCTTTGAGTATTCTCATTCAAATATTTCTGGACATTGCAGAGTATGTTGAAAGATTTTTTAAAAAATCGTTGTATTGATCTAAGAAATGATTTAGGATCCTGTATGTTCACAAAGTTGTAGTTACAAATCTCATATAACAATGTTGACTCTCTGACTATGAAAATCTCTGATAAAGTGTCAATTTGGAAGAAAAGTAAAATTGGACCATGTAACAAGGTTAATTGCAGTTCATATTTTTTGGGAGCATTATAATTGGACAAAATGTCTGTCTTTTATCACTTTTATGGCATGAGTGGGGGACTCTACATCATTGACTTTCAACAAGCAAAGCATAGTAGTATTAATTTGAAATAATAATTTTAATTTTTTTATT